GGGTTTCACCATGTTGACCAGGATGGTCTCGATCTCTTGACCTCGTGATCCACCCGCCTCGGCCTCCCAAAGTGCTGGGATTACAGGCTTGAGCCACCGCGCCCGGCCCAGGCTGGTTTTTAAACTCCTGGGCTCAATCCATCCTCCCATCTCAACCTCCCAAAGTGCTGAGATTACAGGCATGCACCACAGTGCCTGGCCCAGTTGTTGCTTTTTATTATAATTGAAGAACCCATTGCTCATTTTAGGTATCCTTAAAGAATCTGGTGTGAAGCACAAGGGTTTGATTGAAATACCCAATCTTTCTGAAGAAAACGAAGTAGATGACACTGAGGTATGTGATCACGTTTCTATTTCTTTTGTTCTTTTTTTAGTCAAGCTTCTGCAGACATTGGGCATTTCAAATAGTGTTGATCAGACTGTGTAGTTCCTGTGTGGTGGTTCGGGTGCCTTGTGGAGGGCCTGTTTGCCGAGAGGGATTGCTGTACTGTGGGGGCAGCATGTTGTGTGGAGCCGGAATGTTGCAGGAAAGAGAATATGCACCAGGAAGCCCTGAGCTCCCCCGAAGACCAGACAAGGGGCCTGGGCAGCTGACTGCACCCTCCTTGGCCTCCTCATCTGTGAAAAGGGGTTACATTCTCTTCCAGGGGTATTGTGAGGTTAAATGTGACAGTTTGTGCACTGTAAGCTGCTCAGGCAGCTTGCATGGCTTGATGAATGCAACTTTCTCGTCTCCTGCACCTTTGCTGTTTCCCTTTAACAGTGAAAAGTCTCAGCCTTCAGCTGCAGTCTCTCCGTTGTTTATGCCTCAAAGGCTTTTGTAAACTACCCAGTTAGTATATGTTGCTTTTGTGGCTCTCCTAGTTCTCTTGGGAGACAGAGCCTCATGTAACTCCCATGCTTGGCTTCAAGTTAGTGCCGCCTTTTGGCTGAAAGCTGGGTTCTGGGGGTGAGACCATTTGTACAGCTGCTATATTTTTCAAACCAAGATAGTCTGACAAAGGATCTGTTTTGATTGTTGAACGTATTTAACATGAAGGCTTTCAAAGATAGGCTGACTCCTGCCCAGCAGCATGTCTTATGGCCTGAAGGTTATACAGTGCCACAGGCTGGGGCTGTCCCAGACCTCTGTCTTCAGTTATGTGGTTCATCCGCTCAGGGCCTGAGATTCCACTTTGTTATATTCAGATCCATCGGCTAAGAAACTTTCAACAGAATGTTTAGCTCGTTTTTAAGATTTAATCTCTCAGTAGCATTACAGAACAAACTCCTTAGATGGGCCCACCTCAACTGAAGCATTGGGACACTAAATTTTTTCAAATCGACATCTCTTTTTCTTCTGGGAATACCAGAGACATCCCCAAAGCCCTCTGATGCTTCCTTCTCCCTGTCTTCCCCTTCTCCCTTCCCTTCCTCCTTCCCTCTGCCTGTCTTCTACTATTCTCCCTTTCCCAATTTTCCTCTCTGTCAAAAAAGTATAGTCCAAGGCTGGGTTACAGATAACTTGATTTTTTTTCTAGTAGCCATACTTAAAAAGTTAAAGCTATAGTTGTGTACGGTGGCTCACACGTGTGATCCCAGCACTGTGGGAGGCCCAGGTGCGAGGATCACTTGAGCCGAGGAGTTTGAGGCTGCAGTGAGCTATATTCATGCTACTGAACTCCAGTCTAAACAACAGGGAGACCCTGTCTCTTAAAAATTAAAGCCAGGCGTAGTGGCATATGTCTGTAATCCCAGCTGCTTGGGAGGTTGAAGGGGAAGATTGTTTGAGCCCAGGAATTTGGGTGTAGCCTCGGCAACATAACAAGATGCAAGCTCTTATTAAAAAAAAAAAAGATAAACAGGTGAAATTTTATTTTATTTGAGTATATAAAAAAGATTTTAGCATGTAATTAATATAAAAATGATGAGGTATTTTACGTTCTTTTTTGGTATTTAGTCTTTGTACTCTGGCATGTATTTCACACAGCATATCTTGATTCAGGCCAGCCACATTTCAGGTTGTCAGTAGTCATATGTGACTAGTGGCTACCATACTGGACAGTGAATTTCTAGAACCCATGAAGGCCATGGACATCAGCAGTAGAATTTATATACATACACATGCACAATTTTGTGTGCAAATTAAGGGGTTTACATTCTATGAAGTCCATGCAAGATTTGGCCACCAATCCCGTCATGGACCCTGGATTAAAAACCCTTAAAATTTTGCCTTATCACATCTCTTACATCCACTTCTTTCCTTCCTTCACCATCACAGTTCTCTCGTCCATACGGCCCAATATTGTAAGAATACATCAAACCAGACCTTTTCTTCGGTTTGTATTTTTCTGATTTGTAGGTGAACGTGAGTAAAAAGAAAGGAGATGGGGATATACTGAAGGATCTTATGAAAACTGCAGGCACCGCCAAGGTCAGGGAGGCCCTTGGAGATTACCTGAAGGCACTTAAGACGGGTAAAGAAGGCATCCCTTGTGAACCAGAGGGTCCCTTTTCTATTTACCCAAGTTATACTCAGCACTGTGGTTGGAGGCTCCAGAAGCAACTTTATACTTCAGAATAAATTGTAGTTTGGAAGTTGAGAGCTAGTCATGGTTAAGACCATAATTAGTGATCATCAGTATTGTACACAGCAGGAACTATTTTACTTACAGAATTGTTCATTGTAGTTTTCTGGAATGAAAATTAATCAGTTGTTTGTGTAATTACTTGTTTAATGTCTGTCTTCCTTGGTAGATTATAAGCTCCATGAGGGCATGGAAGGTGTCTGTCTTGTTCACTGCTGTATCTCCAGCATCTAGCACAATGCCTGGCACATAGTAGGTGCTTAATAAATCTTTTGTTGGATGAATGAATGAATGGATGGAAGTGACTGCAGGTATTACAGGTGTAGTTGAGATATACCTACATAATATCCACATTGCATGGAAGTGAGGTTGTTGTCTTCTTCCCTAAATTAGAGAAGTTAGCCAGGCAAGATGGCCAGCAGTACCTGTATCTCTGTACCTCATCCTTGGATCCTACTACCTGAGTGTCAAGGTGTTGGCATAGATGGGTTTGGGGTTGTCACTCTTCCATCAGAGCGCATGTGTAGCTGGCTCACAGGTTTGAATACTGTGAAGACAAGATTTGTGAGGTGGTGGTCACTCTCACAAGAAATTGACAGGAGGTTAGAGCCACAAAGATATTAGTAATCATATAAAACTTAGCTGTTTGGAAAAGAACTTTGGAAAATTTTGCTGTTTTAGCAAAAACTTGATAAAAGTAAGCCACTGGGGGAAAAAAAGGCATTTGTTGCTGTGGAACTCACGTTGTTAATCATCAGTAGTTTTGTATGTAAAAATACGGAATGGTCTTGAAATTCTCAAAATGTTAATAGGAATTATTTTCATAAATATCTGTTCTTTATTTTCTTACATGCTGATTTGGGTTTTCTACCTTACTCTTTGTGCTTAAAAGGAGAAAGGTCATTAAAACCACTTCCCTTGTTTCTTTGTAGAATTTACAATGGGAATGATTTTACCTACGAAAGCTATGACAACCCAGGAATTGACTGGTAAAAGAAAACTGAGTGAGAATACCCTGCAGGTATGAGCTCTGGTGGCCAAAATGTAGGGAAGGGGTAAAGGAAATGTTTTGAGTCGGGGCTCCAAATAGCCTTGTGTTGATAAACTGGGAAGGACAGTGAGGGCCTTTATCCACCTTTGGGTCTCCTGTGGGTCCTCTACAATGTGCCATTTTGATATGGAAATAAAATGAGACTTTGATTCTTGATGGAAGAACTGTTACAGACACACCTTTCTGTGGGATATTTGACTCAAGACTGTTGTAAAGGTAGTGTTCTTTGGTAGGCCACGGATTGCAAAACCAGGTGACTTTCGAAATTCATACAGCACAATAGAAGAACCTTCTTTGCTGACTTTTGGATTGGGAGATTTTAGATAAATGGGTGTTTTGTGTGTAAGTGACACCCTTTGGTCTTAGGTGCAGTTGTCTTGTGTCTGCTCAGGGTTGTATTTGCAAGTGCAGCTAGGATTAGGGGTGTTCAGTCAGAACCTGGGAACGGAGCTGAAGAGCTATAGGAACAGTGAGCTCTGTTTCCAAAGTAAAGACCAGGACTGGCGGTGCTAAAAAGGCTTTTCATGCTGCTTTTGTGTGTCTGGAATAGGCAGTACAGAATTTGGGACATTTGATATTTCACTGGAAAGACTTTTTCAATCCAAGCAGCTTTATCTCTTGGTATGCTAATCATTCCCTGGAACCTCTTTCTTCTCCAGGTTCAGGCCTCATCTCCAGTGGCACCGGGTGTAAGGATTCCCACTGTGGCTCTTCACATGATGGAACTGTTTGACACAACTGTAGAGCAGCTGTATAGCATCTTCACTGTGAAGGATGTAAGTAACTCCCCAAGCTAGCATCTTAAATGCTGACATTGGGAGAAAATACACCACAAAAAAACAGGAGCTGGTTTTTGGTCATTCTTGTGGCCGTGTTTTTGATTGAAGGGTATGAGACGGTGGTGACAGGAAGTCTGAGCATATTTTCTGAATAATAGGAGGGAAGATGGGCATTTTTTGGAAATGTGTCAGCATTACTTTGAGTTTTCTCTGGGAAGAGAGAGTTTGTGTTTTATTTTTCTGTAAGTAAAAGCTACATGTTTAGGATTTTTAAGCCATAGTGTATTTTATACTTCATAATTAGATTAAAATATGTGATAGTGTGGTCTGGAATAACCCATCTGTCTTATTTGGTTAGTTGGTGCAAAAGTTTTCTAAGTCGACTGCTGTATTGGAAGCCGAAAAGGGAGGGAAATTCCAAATGTTTGATGGGAACATCACTGGTGAATATCTAGAATTGGTAAGTAGACTCAGGGTTAAAGCAGCAAGCTGGGATTAACTCTTACTTTAGTTAATATTATTCTCTTTGTACATGCTATTTTTAGCGCTGAAATCACTAGGTCTGTGTTGTCTCACCCTTAACAGCAGCCCTCTGTTCTGGTTACTGTTGCTATACTCATGACATTATTACATATTCCTACTGTCCTGATGTTACTGTTGAGACATTTTGGCAAAAAGACAGTTATCATCAATGGTGCTGATGTGTATAAACTAGGAGATGGGACTATATGTTGTTTGATTCTTCTCATACTTAGGAGTTTCAATGAAAGGATTTGGTTTTTCTGTGTTGTGGGAAGTTTTAAAACATTTTTTTTAAACTGTGGAATTTCCCTTTCTTTTCAGTTAACCAACAAAAAGATCGTCATGAAATGGAGATGTAGGAACTGGCCAGAAGGTATGCTATTAATTAGTGCTCTTAATGTATAAAGGTCCCAAAACACTAAGGCTAGATTTTTCATATACATGTTCCTTGTTATAATGCAGTAATAGGTTCCTATTTTTCTTCTTAGAACACTATGCTACGGTTGCACTGAATTTTGTGCCTACTCTAGGGCAAACAGAATTACAATTGGACTGTAAAGGAGTTCCTGTCTGTAAAGAAGAGAACATGAAATTCTGTTGGCAGAAGCAGCATTTTGAAGAAATAAAAGGTTTACTGCAGCTGACCCCCCTAAATTGTTGAATTAGTTAAGATTTTTATAAGGCATTACTTTTTGTAAGTAGAAAAAGTGTCACATTTACCTCTCCCTATTTTTTTAAAGGATCCTTAATTTATTTTATATTGGATGAAATCTATGAACATTATACAATTTAAAGCATTGTTTGACTCTTTATTATAATAACTAGATACTGCATTGAGTTAAAAGAAGTAGCAACCTGAAATTAATTAGGTATTAACCTGGCCTTCCATAGATGTTCCTCTGAAAACAGATCAAGTCCCTGAGTGCAGATAGTTGACATTTCCCAGGCTGAAGTTTGTCCTATAGCAAGCTTGCTTGCAGCTGTACTTTTAGTTCAAGATGAGAAAAAATAAATGGCATGTTGATACTTTTCCTTTATTTTACTTTAGGGTTTTTAAGGGTGTAGATCTTAGGTAGTAAAACAGTGGCATGTTGCATTCAAAAGCATGTTGAGGTGAGGGCGAACTGGCTGTTTTGCTCCACTTCTCCCTGCCTAGAGGTTTTGCACTTTGTGGTGGAGAGGATTGAGAAGTCTATGGGGACACGTTAATTTTGTGGGCTGCTGGTAACACTTCCAGTGAAATAACATATAATGGGTGTTTCCTCTCATTCACCATTTTTCTCACTATTTTCACCTGAGACGACGGAAGCAACGTATGTAAACAAATGAAAAGTCATCACAATCAGTTTAATTAAGTGCACAGAATAGCAATCAGTCATGTCAATAAAAATAAAACAATTATTTTTACATCAAGTGTGCTTTATTTCCTCCACAGGTATTCTGTTAAATAAAGCACCATTTATATACTGCCAGGCCACAGCTAAAGAGGATTCTTTACAGAATCAAATTTCTTGTGGTTGTTCCGTATACAAGTAAACTTAATTTTGATAATAAGAACCACAGCGATCGGAGGCAATCTGCCTCTATAAGGTACAAAACTGGCACAGAGGACACCATATTATACACAGTAAAAATGCTGTAAGTTTAAATTACATTGTACAGGGCGAAGGAACCCTGTTCTTCCCAGACAGCCATATTAAATGAAAGCCACTACAGTGAACTCTTAATTACATAAAACATATCCATTATCTGATTGCCCTTTAGGAAGTATACTGAAGATGCAAGTTTTTTCATTGGGAGTTCTGCCTGACCAAGAATTAAGCCTATAAATCTATCTTGCCATTCAAGCAGAGAGCACTGGACAAACTGAAGCACAAAAACAAATAAGCAAAACTTATACAAACAGCATGGGGGTAGGGGTGAGGGACTTAAAAGTAGACATGCTACACCTAATGTCAAGAAGCAGCTTGGTTTCCTTTGCCAGATATCCTTGTGACCACATGGATTGTAGATTCAATGGTCCTACACAGGGTATCTAAAATGTCGTGTTGCTGCATATGACTAAAGAGTCCTCTAGAATGGCCACAACTGAGAGATAAAGCAACCTCAGGGTCCTGGGAGGGCAAAGCTTGGCCATCACAGCTTCTCAAGTCAGCTAAGTCAGACAGAACTGCAGAGATAGAAGTAGAAGGGAACTCAGATTCTTCCTCAGCGAGGGTAGAATCCTTGGAAAAGTGGAGGTCTTTAAATTCTTTACAATCTTCAAATCTACCATTGCTGGACTGTTCTTCTGTGTGCTGTGACCTGATATTTGACATGTCTTCTGAAAACGAAGATGGAACTTCCATTCGGTATTCTTTAACAGAACTATTTTCAGGGGAAGGAAGATCTTGCTCAGTTCCTGGATCAATAATTGAGGAGTCCCTGGTCTCATTGTCAGAAGTGCTCGTTGGGGTCAGGACCTCCCTGGTTTCTGTTTTCATGTCGCTGATGCAGCTGTCTACAGTGTGCTCCTCATCACTGCTAACACGCCTTCTTTTAACGGGAGTTGCCCCTTCATCATCTGTGAAAACACACACCAAAACAGAAACCTCTCAAAGTCATTAAGATCACATTTGGGGGTGGGAGGGTATGGGAAGTTAATTTTGTTTCTAGCATATTTAGGAGGTTCAGCTGAACATAGATTTTTTTTTTTTTTTTTTGGAGATGGAGTCTTGCTCTGTCACCCAGGCGGCTGAAGTGCAATGGTGCAATCTCAGCTCACTGCAACCTCTGCATCCCAGGTTCAAGTGATTCTCCTGCCTCAGCCTCCTGAGTAGGGTTAGAGGCCCATGCCACCACGCCCGGCTAATTTTTGTATTTTTAGTAGAAATAGGTTCTTTAACTCCTGACCTTGTGATCCACCCACCTTGGCTTCCCAAAGTGTTGGGATTACAGGTGTGAGCTACCAGGCCCAGCCTGTCATATAAAACTATTAAAAGACCAGTTACACCAAGTGTATTACTGCCTCCTCCCACCCTAAAGGTAATGACAGTAGTCCATAAAGCTAACCTTTAGTTTTTCTTTCTTTGGCTTCTTGCTCTTGGAGTGAGTTTCTCTGTTGCAGACAAGTCCTGCATTTGCTTAAAAGCTCTTGCAGAGTTGGAATTAGAGCTGGGTTTAACTGTTTGGGAGTGTGTACCGACAGGAGCAAAGCAAGTGCCCTTAGGTCCTGCAAAAATCCAGATGCGAACATGTCAAATTCTAAAACCAACACTTTGATGCAGCTGTTTACAGTTAAATGCAGATGTTTACTTTCCCAAGAATCCTTTCTTTCCTAAGAACACCCTGGTTTTTCTGGCATTCTTAGACTAATGATAAAACCAGAAAGCCAGTTATAGGATACTACAGCATTTCGTTAGTTGTTTTTTTGAGACTGAGTCTTGCTCCATTCCCAGGCTAGAGGGCATGGCACGATCTCGGCTTGCAACCCCTGCCTCTCGGGTACAAGTGATTCCCCTGCCTCAGCCTCCTGGGTAACTGGGACTACAGGCGCGTGCCACCACACCCAGCTAATTTTTTTGTATTTTCGTAGAGACAGGGTTTCACCATGTTGGCCAGGATAGTCTCGATCTCCTGACCTCGTAAGCCACTGCACCTGCCTCATTAGTTCTTAAAGTCACTAATAGCATTATTTTATGCCCAGAAATAAGTCAGACCAAAGACTGAAATAGTGTCTTCTGAAAATGAAAAAGGAAATACATACATATATATATCAGTAATAGAGCTCAGGTAGACTTATATAAGAATTTTTAAAACAAACCTTGAATGATCCATGAGAAATTTAGGTCTTACTAATAGACAAATCAGTTTCTCAAGCTAAATTCTGATAGCTGACACAAATAGTAAGGTCTTCCTTATAGAGCTTTGTCATCTGTTAAGCATATTGTGATTTGGGAGGCTGCTGCTCAACAACATTCTAGCCCGCTTCCAGGGTGTTCCATTATTCCAGGATATGGCTGTCATGGGAGTCCGTACAAGGCAACTAACACTCTAGATTTAACTGCTGCCCCCCGCCCCCCGCGCCTGACCTTTTTTTTTTTTTTTTTTTTTTTTTTTTGAAACTGCCTTTTAAAATCCGTAGATTATTGTTTCAGTTACTTAGGAGCCACAGGCAATTATAGAAACATCACAAGTAACATTTCCAAAAATACACCCAAGTAGAGATAAGGCCACTAAGACGTTCCCTTTATTACCCTTAGCATTTAATGACATCAGCTTGTAGCTTCCAGGGTGATAAAGAGGGTGTGTGGTATATACATACAAGACATAGTAAACATGTATTACATTTTTTTTTTGTCATACGTGGCTTAGAGTTCAAATCGGTTACAGTTATGAGAGTAAAATCATACGAAGGCCAAACAGTTGACTAAAGGACAGTTTAAAAGTGTGTGCCTCCTCTGCATAGTTCTTACCCCATTTAAAGAAGCACTTGCTTTGGAAATTTCAACTCGGTTGGAGAAATCAGACTGTAGGTTCTGATACTGATTTATCAAGTTTGTAATAAGAGTGCTGATCAAATTGGCACAGTTTGCTTCAGAAAACACTTGACTTTGAACCTGAAAAAGATGATTTAAAAAGATCTCCAAAAAGACCAGCATAACGAAAACACAAGCATTAACTGGAAATTACACATTGAGTTTCCAAAGTACTACATACCTTTAGAAGGAAATGTGTCATGAAGGTGTAGACAATGTTGTTGTTTAAAAAAGTTCTTTCATCCATTAGGATACATTTAATATATTCTGCGAAAACAGGATCTTCACACAAAAGCTTGATGCAATTTTTTGACATAGCAGACTAAAGTGGGGAGAAGAAGCACTGATGGTTGAGCACTGAAGTAACTGGGGCTTCAACGCTTGCATGTCATGGAAATCTGAAGCCATTTAAAATCCCACTTGAAAAGCCATGTCTAACTCAGCCTATTGAATTTTTAGTTAACAGCAACTGTTTTTAATACAGTAAAATGTTACTAATTTGGACTATAGGAGTGAGTGCTGGGGGAAGACACTGATGCCAAAACTGAACAAATGTTTTAAAAGAAATGCAGGTTTATTATTCAACACAGAGAATTAACAAGCACTAGAGAAACAAGGCTAACAAAGAATAGGATGTGAATGTTTTCAGGGGCCAAATTCAGGTATAATTTGTAGATAACCAGAGCATAATGTTGTGAAAAGACACATTTTAAGAATCAAAATCAATTTATTCTCTAAAATGTTTTAAACTTTACTGTATAATCTCATTAGCAACAGTAATTTGGTAAATACCCTTCCCCCCATAAACACTGCAAAGGTAAACAATAAACCTCCTTTCCTAATTATCTCACACAGAATCAGTGGTCCCAATATATGGAAATTTTACAAAAATTTGGTTTTCCTGTTTTCAAATAGTCATGGCTCTTAAACACAAGTAGTATGTCTTTAAGCAGATATACTCCCTAGATTTAAATGTGTATTTTAATCATAGATCATTTATTTATATGGAAAAATATATTTTAAAAATAGGACAAAATTTAGAATATATGTATATATGTATATGCGTATATTTTATTAGAGTAAGCTGTCATAAATAAATTACTCAAGGTCACTCAAGAAACTAGGATTCAAGTAGGACCAAGACCCAGGTCTTCAAATGCTTAGCACTAAGAAAAATCTCCCTTAGTTCACCAGTCACAGCCTCTGCCTGTTTCTTGCTCAGGATGGCTGCTTCTACAGGACTGGAGGCTTTGGAGGCTTTATATGGTTTGGCTGTGTTTAAGGGAAATTTGGGGGCACAGTGAGTTCTGTCTGTGAAGAAGTCAAGTGAAGGGAGTCATGCAGTGTAGAAGTACAGAGGGCAGTAGGGAAGCAATAGGTGGTAGGAGAGTACAGAAACCAACAAGGTACCCAAATCAGGAAGAATCAAAAAGAGCAACAGCATCAGTGGAGAGAGAAACAGAGATCTCCAATTTATTGAATAGACCACTCACCTCAAAAATCAATTGATA